CAAATCTCAAAATACTTTGACTCTGACCTCTTCAATTGGAGAACTGCATCAAGGACTCAAATAGTCAATCACATCCATCCATCTCGACATCAATCACAAAGACCAGTTATCGTCATCATGTCTTTCCTCACTGAAGCTGCTGCCCGCCGATTGGCATCTGTCCCCCGTGCTGTCGCCACCTCAGGCTTCACCACCACCGTCCCGCGAGCTTCATTCACCACCTCCATCCAGCTGCAGAAGACTGCCACCGAGACGGTAAAGGATAGTCTGAAGACAGTAGACCGCGCTGTCAGCGACAAGCTCGTCGATGGCATCAACATCACTAGTGAGTCTGGCCCTAGCTCATGTATCTTCAACTGGCCCCACTCCGATACTAACATTCGCACCTAGCAAACGCCGCGAGCAAGGTCAAGGAGGCTGCTGGAGAAGCCTCTTCCGGCAAGGTCACAGGCCAGGCTGCCGAGCTCCGAGGTGAGGCATCCGGAAAGGCTAGTGAGCTAAAGGGCGAGGCCAAGGGCAAGGCACACGAGGTCGCCGGCAAGGCAAAAGGTGCCGCAGAGGAAGCCAAGCAGAAGATCTAGATTGGATTGAGATGAGGGATACAGGGGCGTCACTTTTTCACGATTGCATGACATAACAAGACCGGCGTCGCGGTCGACTGTACTGTACATTACCTGACTGTTTCACGTCGCATGGTTCGGTCAACAGCCCTACGGTTGTAGGGTGGAATAAAAAGAGTCAATTCCATCAATAATCCGATCCATCTTATGTTACTTGATGAAAGTTGTGGTCTTGCATGCTGAATCGACAGCCAAGCGGGAGTGCTATGGCTACTGGAGATTGCACAAAGGCAATGCACTAACACCAATGCACTCAGCAAACCAGGCGGCGCATTTCCTGACCGTTCTTACTCTCCAATCCCCTGTCCATTGGAGTAGAAGCACTGCGCCTGCAGGAACACAAGCAACCCACGAGGCTCGAGGTTTTATTTTTGCTTTCTTTCTTTCTTTCGGTTCACGAATCAACAACTAATGATTGAATCATGATATAAAAGCTTGGGGGGTTGGCTTCTTTCGCGTCTGTTTAGAAGTCGGGGCCTTACGACGGACCAATCGCTCACACAGAACAAGATGCCATTTACATATCCTCCTCTTCCCGCAACTGATGGTCTGCGTATTCTGACCTTGCAGCCCACCTCGTCTGGCTTTCTTTCTAGACTCACAGGCAGTCTCACAGCCGTGGCCTTTTCGTCCAAGCCAAAGTACATTGCGCTCTCTTACACCTGGGCCGATCCGGATGAGGCGCACGAAAAGCTCCCGCTCCCTCGGGATTCCACAAACCTGACCGCTTATACCAAGTCCCTGGTTGACAACACTGCCCATCCCGGGGTCATCATGCTCAACAATGAGCCCTTTCCCATCGGACACAACCTCACCCTGGCGCTGCACCATGTCCGCTCCGACACCGAACCTGTGCACATCTGGGTCGACCAGATCTGCATCGACCAGGCCTCCATCCCGGAGCGCAACGCCCAGGTGGCGCTGATGGCGTTCATCTTCACCCGGGCGGCTGCCGTCGTGGGCTGGCTGGGCGTGGAAGCCAGGCCGCCTTCGGGCGTGGAGCTGCCCGACTACATGGCGCTCAGGTGGGAGTCTGGCCGCGGCAAGCAGCTGGCCAAGCTAGCTCTGCCGGTCCCGGCCAAGGGGAGGAAGGCAGTCCCCTGGAAGCTGCAGTACAGTAACAGCTCGACGGGGGTGAGCTTCAAGCGCGACAATCCGTACTGGCAGCGCCTGTGGATCGTGCAGGAGGTCTGTCTGCCGCGCACGGTGGTATTTTTGCATGGGGGCTACCTGTGGTCTCAGGGGCAGGTCAGAGATTCGTTGAAGATCGGGAGTTCCGCCGGCAGGGTTGCAGAGAATGCGATACCCGTAGACACGCTGCTGAGCACTAGAGATGAACGATTCAGCGAAGCGATGAGCTTGGAGATCTTGGTTGAGAAGTTCGCCGACTGCGGCTGTTCTGACCTGCGAGACAAGCTCTATGGGCTCCTTGGCCTGGCGAACGACGTCGAGTCAGCTCCCGCGTCTGCGGTGGTGTCCCAAGCCGCTGCCAACGGTCAGGCCGAGAAGAAAGGGAGAGGGACGATTGTTATAGACTACAACCGGAGTTTCTGGGATATATTCTGCGATATCATGACGTTCATGTCTACGTGGTCGAAGCCACACTTCGATCCATGTCCTTCCTGTCCAGACCAGACTGATGAAGAGCGCTGGATCCGTACTGTTCGCTTTGCTGGCGTTGTGCAGAACGCTCTCCAGGGGAAAGTTGAAGAGGATGCGCGCAATGCAGATTCTGATGGCGAGAGACTCTTTGCCACGGCGAAGGGCTACATTGCCGGAAAGATTCAACACATTGGTCCAAAGTACTCCAAGTTCATAAGTTCATATGCGGAGGAGCAAGCGTGGGTTAGCAGTTGGCATGAATACTACTCGTCTGCGGACGACTTGCTCAACCTGCGTAAGATGGAAGATGCGTATGCTGCCAAAATCATCGACTATTCTGAACACGACCTCGCACATATTCGCGGGTATGCCCGGTCCAGAGCCGTGGTGTGGCATGCGGCCAGATCAAAACACTGTCACAATTATGACTCCGAGATGAATATTCTGCAGAAGCCCGGGGAGGACCCGGTCCGGTTCCTAGGCACCGAGCATTGCATGGGACTTGCTCCGCCAAATGCAGAGCCCGGCGATTTAGTTATTCGGTTTTGGAACTGTGATGCTGCGATCATTGTCCGTCAGCAAAACGCACAAGCTACCAAAGAGGTGAGGCGGCTGTATTGCCTAGTCGGCAGAGCCGACATTGCTGAGCCTTGGGATCGCGAGGTTGGCCCAGATGTAGTCGGAAGGGATTATATGGCAATTCATGAGGATGAATCGACTTTGACTTTCCATGACTGTAGTTCCTTTCATGTTGCAACCGACAAGGCTGTCTATGTGAAAATGGATTATGAGACGCTGCAAAAGATTACGGCAGATATCTGTACCTGAGTCGAAATGTGAGAAGATGGACATATTCTGTATGCGGAAAGTCCAAAGTTTTGAGTTCACGTTCTAGAGACGTTATTGAACGATCTTTAAGCATTTACGGAACTGAAACATATTAAGGCATCATAAACCCGAGGCATTTGTACGGTCTTGTCTTGTTTGTCTAGGTTGTTATCGTAGGGTGTATTTCATCGATCATTTCAGAATTCAAGTCTCCAATTTCAAGATGTCATTTAGAATGAAGCCCTTATTCTGTCGTAGCTTTTCTTTTAAATCATCAATTAAGGCATTAAATGTGGGATTCTGGTTTCTGTCACAACAATAGCAACGATATCAAGAGCAAGGGCTGTTCTTCCTATTTATTCATCTCCATCATTCCCTGTCCAAATGTTCTCCTGTCTTTGGATACAAACCGTCTTCATCTTCCAATGCGGATCCTACAATCGAGATTATTTCATCTTTTTTCTTAGGGTAGTAGGTCATGAGGATATCAGTGCAGAGGCACCGAGCCACACCCCTTTCACTTCGGGACGGATATCGTTTTACCTCGGTAAGCGTCCATCGATGCGAGGGCCTGACCCAATGGCTGTAGTGAATACAATGATAAACCGACGCACACCATATTTAAGTGATAGGAGGTGTATTCCTCACTCAATCTAACACTTTGCGGGGGAGGATTGAACGGGAGGATCAGGGATAGGGGATCTGGACGAGCCCAGCCGTCTCATGGCATGAAGATCGCCGGGACGTCATAACTCACGGGTCCTCGCGCACACACGCTGACACGCGAGCAGACTTAACGCAGATGTCGATCCAATGCCAACCTACATTCTGCGACCCAATTGCAGTCAGAAACATGGGGCGGAGATGCACGTGGGACTCGATGCACTGCGTCGGCCAAGGTAGGTATTGGGTGAGCCCGCACCATTTGTTTCAAACCATATCACCCTCCCTGAGCTTCCTCACGGTGGTGGTTGGTTTTTGGGAAGCTGAGCCGACTGATCGGTAGATCAACGATCGCCAGGGGCTGGCAGGTGGGGATAGGTTGGTTTGACTTGGCATACGTGTGGGGAGGGATGACCTGGAGAAGATGGCTTAGCATCACTTCAGCCATTGTCAAGTCAAGCGGAAGACACATTTGGCTACTCCACGAAAGAGAAGTAAAACAGAACCAAGATGGTAAGAGGTTGAGGTTTGATTGAAACAGGCTGTTTCGAGGGAATAAAAAATATGTCTAGCTATCAGATACCTTGCCCACATGTCCACAAGTAACTACATCAGGACAGCCCGTCTTAGGCTGACTGCACTTCT